CCGCGACAGACATTTTTCAGGGGACTTTTGGAATTTCGATACCCGAAAGTTGCTTCATCAGTTTTCAAAGCAAACAAAACCGGGTTTAGTTTCAGTGACATTAATAGCAGGTGACCTACACTCAACTGACTTCCTACTAAGGAAAGAGTTGGCCGTGAGAAGTGCATGGTAATTGTCTTTCACCTCAGGGTGGGAAGGATGGCTTCAAGTACCTTGGAGATTGAAATTCTGTTGGGAACTCTCTCATGCTTGGTACCTCCTGGACCATGACTGACCAGATGAAGCACTTTCAGAGAGACGTGGTGTGTTTGTGCTTCTCTTCCACAGGTACTATGACCTTAGATGATTGTATGCTATTGTGCTAAAGAGAATAGTGTCAGGTGACACTGCCACAATGACCCCTGAGTTCAGGAAATACGGCATTGAGTTTCAAAAGTGAGCAGAGATGCCGAGCTTCACACACATAAATCATTCCGGCAGCATCCAAAAAGCCCCTGTATACATGCAAGTTACACCTTGAGAGTCCAAAATGCTGTTAGGTCCCATCTCCCATGTAATTCTTGTGATATGGTCCATAGGTACACGTACCCCTATACTATGAATAAAGCCCTTTCCATTGTTTTCTCAGTCTGATATGTCTCGTGGTTTCTCAGCATCCTAGGAGAGGAAATTGTAAGTCACACAGCGTGTTTAAGTGTGCATGTGAGGTATTTGTGGTGGTGTTTGACTGCATCAAGAGTCATTGCTTAATTGTTAACCTGTCCAACTGCCAACATTATGCTTGTGCATGTGATCTAACAGCTTGCATTTGTGTGTGTGTGTGTGTGTGTGTGTGTGCACATCTGTTTGGAGATTTACAGACCGAATTGTGCCATTGTTTTGGGTGTAATCCTTTAAAGAAGCAGAGAGAAGCGGAAAGCCAAAGCAGTGCTGACAGATGTGAACAGTTGTTTGGTGCTATTTGCAGCTGGCGTGAGCCATCAGTGATGTTGTGACGTTGGAGGATTACTGTTTCTGCCCTCTTCCTATCTCACCCATGTCTACTCTATTCCTTAGGGGCCTTAGAGTCTACTCTTGGTACATTTTAAATCAACGGTCATGCTGAGTAACATCCCACACCTGGCTTACACCAAAACGACCAATTTCCATCCGTACAACGCTCAAAATTGTCCGAAATCTTCTTTGTAGAAAATTCTCTCTCACAGTGGAGTTCTTGCCAGATTGAATGCCCTTTACAATGAGTTATTATTTTTTTTTTCACTGTGAAAGCTCTGATAGGACTCTTGGCTGTATGTTTTCGGATGAATGATAGGCACAGCCAAGGCCTAGACAAAAGAATGTGTGTTTTGGCTGCAGAACACTGTGAGGACAAATATCCTAACCTCCCCCTGCTGCTACTTGACCAATATCTACACATTCTCACACACTTTCACCAAGGTTTTCACAATGCAATAAGGATGAAACTCCAGCACACAGAGGGAATGCTTTCCAAAACTCACACACGCATGCATGTTATCATGTTTTGTAAGGCCAGAGGCTCCCTCTCTTTGTGTTTGGAAATAGCTCTTGTCAACACATCCACAATTCCTCATAGTCCAGTAACTCTTTGAAATCCCACAAGCAATTCCTCAGTCATCCTGGCCATTGTGATTGGTCCAAAAAAATTTCTCTTTTGTTTAACTATTTGCTGACCACTATTTTTGTAAATGGAAAAATTGCTAAGTTAGATGTACCCCAGTACCACAAATTCCTTACTGCTTATGAACACATGCACTCGAAACTGCTTCGTAGAGCCAAAGACAGGCAAACAACAGGTTGTAAAGTAGGCCGTCTCTGCATTCTTCAAAGGCCTATCATACAGAATGGCCATTTTTATAAGGGCTTGAGTGCCAGACTGCATGCTAGTTGAACCTTGATGCGGTTCTCCTCAACTCTTTTTGTGCCGCATTTTTTTTTACCCCAAAGATTCCAGACATAGTTAATTTGCCTCTAAATAAACCCAGCCAAGCCATGACAAATAGCCAAGGGGATGAAGGGTAGGGGGTGATTTGGGGGGTGTCAGGCTTGCTCGGTCGTCTGTGAGGTTGCCACAGCAACAGGGATCTGGGATTCAGAAAGAGTGTGAGTGTTTTCAGAGCAGGAGACAAGGGATTACAGGAAATATGACAGGACATGACTCTCCGTACCGGACTCTTTCCCCCATCCCACCCTCCAAAAAACATTCTTTCCCTACCAGACACCCCCAACCTGCCCCCACTGCACTGCCTGACATTATCATCACAATCAGACTGCCGACCTCTGACATTTGACCTCCCAGCATGCGAAGGGTTCATAGGGAAAATCAGTGTGCCGCATTGGGGGCTTCAGGAGATGGAGGAGTAGCCCTGGGTATTCATGAAGAATTGTTTCTTACTTATTGCTGATCTGTTTCCTCCTTGTTTTGCATTTAGAGTTGAGAAGAAACTCCCCACAGACACACAGTCTCAACTTACGGCATTTCATGAAGCCAGCTGTATTGGAAAAATTGTAATAACAGGCATGAATCATTTTGGTTTTGATAGTCACCACTAGGTTTGGTCCAGTTGGCCTCTTTGCTTCAAATTTTCAGACCTTATGATCAAAAAAAACCAACCATGGCCAGCAAATACACTCTCGTGTTGTTAAGTCAACAGTATTGTTATTAATAAGCAGACTTCACCAAGGAACTGAGCAAGTGAAGAGAGTTAACATTTTCCTCTTCTTCTTCTCCGTCAAGCATTGAAATTTTAGCCTTAACATATCCGGTATGTATCAGATGTAAGTCTCGTTAATCATAAGACTTGGGATTTTTGATGCCAGCAACTTAGTCTTGGCTCCCTTATGTATGTTTTTTGGGTCCAGTTCCAGAATATTTTATTACTCCCATATGCAACATTTCTGTAGGTGTGTCTTCCAATGAGCAGAACACTGTGGCGTCATCCTCTATTGTCTTGCTGGGTAAAAAAACAGTTTTCACCAGAGTTTGAATAATCTCTAAATTTGACGAAATGGTAGAATGGAAAGTATAGATCATGAAAGGCTAGCAGGCTCCCTCTGTGGTCCAGCAGAAGTCAAAAACAGCACCCCCTATATGCCAAGCGCTTTTTTAAAGACCCTCTCCAAGGTCAGAAAGAAACTGCTTCAAATTTGGGTGGGGGAGGAGACACCAGCCACAAAAGAAGAAGAAAAAACAAAGGGACAGATAGCTCAGTGTAAAAAGTGGTCATCCTATAACAGAAAAAGGAGGAAAAGCCATTGTTGTCACTGCCCAGGGGTTGTTTTACAGTGGAAACAGAGAGCGGGCCTGAGGGGGGGACACACAGAGAACAGACCATCCCAGTGCTTGTCATCAGCTTCAAACGGTCTTTTTGATGTGGGAGTTCATCCTGTGGCGGGGCTCCCTGTGTGGGTGTAGGGTTACACAACCCAACACACACTGGCTTCTCATGCCTAGCTTACCAAAGGCCCCAGAGCCCATGATCGAGACGGCTCTTTTTTTTTTTAGGAAGAAGTTGTTTATTTTATCTTACCTGTTCAGTTTCAGGTCCCACTCAATTGTCCATCAAGATAACCTCCCTGTACTGAAAAGCATAGAATTAGAGCGGAAAACACTGTATTCAACTGCCACAAAGTGGCTTTACCAACATATCATCTATGTTTTGTTGTCTCCTGTCTTTTGAGTGGTCTCCATTGTGAGGTAACACATGGAACACTGTATACGGTTTGCAAGGTCTCATGGGTGAACACAGATAGTTCTTTGACTCACAGCCGTGTGAATGCAGCGAAGAAATTGGAAAATCAGTAATAATCCTGGAATGCAACCTGGCATGGAGAGAAGCATGCTTTCTGTATTGGAATACCAAAGAATGTGCAAAGTGTGCTCTGCTGTTATAGTCAAGTCGGACATATATGCAACATCTGGGGGATAGCATAAAATTTAGTGTTTTTCTCTGTGTGTGGTGGGAGGTTCCTGGTAAACCCCATGTTTTGGGGACCAAAAGTTCTTACAAGAATAGTAATACCAGTGATTATCTTGTGGGGAATTTTTTTTTTTTTTTTTTTTTGAAAATTTAAAAATGTTTAAAGTTTTCCATGAGGACTGTGTTCAGGGATAGGGTTAGGGAAAAGAACGTACATGTACCAGAGCCCGACCGATAAAGGATTCTGAAGGCCGATACCGATACAAATATTTGTTGGTTTTAAAATTCGATATTCCCATATATCGGCCGATATTTTTTATTTAATTTTTTTCAGGAACGCACAACAAAACATTAACAGATTTCCCTAACATTAGTTATTTGTAGTTAATTATGGGTGGGTTTTAATTAAAATAATATGATAATGCATTTTAAAAAGAAACTGGTTTCTTTTATTGTCGCAACAGAACAGTGGAGGAACCAAAGCTCATTAATTAATTAACAAAGCTCATTAAATTCCATTGATGATAGTGGCATTAGCTAGCTTTGTGGTTAGCTAGAATGTGTTGCGCGTTATAAACGAGTGTTGCCAACAGGCCCGGGATGGTATAGAGTGCCCTCTGGTGGACAAACTTATACAATCCAGCATGACATGGTTCAAGCGTGTTTCATCCATTTTTATTTTATTTTTGAAATATTCATTTATCTGCCATTATAACTGCCGATACCGATAGTTTGGAAAATGCCTAATATCGGCCGATAATATCGGCCTGCCGATATATCGGTCTGGCTCTAACATGTACAGTATAAAAAGTCATTAAGTCTATGGAAAGTCCCCATAAAACATGGGAAACACAACATGTGTGTGCATGTGTGCGTGTGTGTTGGGTAATCACCTGCTCCCTAACCTTGTTTTACAGTAAGCTTGGTATATTTACTATTTATGTTTTCTGTGCATGAGTTTGGAAAGATACTGGGCCTGGCCTTTTGATCAAAGTTTCTGAGATCCCACTGAAATGCTTTTACACTCAGGTGCTCATGTTCTAAATGTGTGCCCCTCGACAGATGCCGGCCTGGTTATATTGGTTTACTCTGTCAGCATCTGGACCCATGTCATCGCTCGCCTTGTCTAAACGGAGCAGCTTGCAAGAGCCAGGTTGCTAATGGAATCCCACAGTACACCTGTGTGTGCCAGCGAGGTTTCAGAGGTAAGCTTGAGGGTGTCTTCATGGTGCAATTTGTGGGAATTTTAGGGCTGTTTGTGAATGAAGCTTCTTGTGTCTGCAGATCAGGATTGTTCCCTGATTGATGCATGTGCCACAAATCCCTGTGCCAATGGTGCCCGTTGTACTAATTGGAACAATCACTACAACTGCTCGTGCCCACCGGGGTATCAGGGAAAAAACTGCCGCAATGACGTCGATGAATGCCGCAAACCCGGAAAATGCCTAAATGGTGGAATCTGCGTGAACGCCCATGGCTCATTCCGTTGCGACTGCCTTGCTGGGTACAGTGGGCGCACATGCGAGGTCCCCACCCAGCCCTGCGCCCCCTCACAGTGTCTCAACGGGGGCACCTGCCATCAGACCGGTGACCACACCTACGAATGTGCTTGCTTGCCAGGTACAAAACACACACCCTTTATCATGTTCCCATACTGGAATTGGGGTTTCCCAAAGCGTCTGGACTTTCCAAGCAGTGATACCTCATGCTTGCTATAAATAGCTCAGACCGAGTGAGAGAAAGATACAGAAGAGAAAGAGAGTGAGCAGAACAGAGAGAAAGCACGTGGGCTGCTGGTCAGGAATTTACTTTATTGCCTTTCTGCTCCCCTCTGGGGAGCAAGCAGGAAATGTCTCTTACCAGAGAGGAAGTCATTGAAACCGTGAGAGATTATAAAACAAGCAAACACGACAGGGAGTATGGCCCTCCAGAGCAGATCTCCGTCAGGCCCTGGCTTTGCCGCTGTGGGAACCGCCGTGAGAATATGTAAACGCTCAACACCCACTGGACCTTTTTACTGCTCACTTTACTCTGCTCATCAATTTATCAATGGTTGTGGAGCAGGAGTAAGTGAAAGTTATTAGGTGTGTTAGGCAAGTGAGGAATAGACCAGGCATTATTATTCCCACATTTACCCCCCCTTCTTCCTTCCTGTGTCATATTTCATTTCTCCGCCCAGGCTTCAGGGGACACAACTGCGAGGAGAACGTGGATGACTGCCCTGGACACAAGTGCATGAATGGTGGGATCTGTGTAGATGGTGTCAACACATATAATTGTCAGTGCCTACCTGAGTGGACAGGTAAATGTACACTTTTTTTCCCCACTCCCCACGTTTACTGTTCACTTTCAAGTTCACATAACTTAAAATAACTCGTCATTCCGTCCGTAGGCCAGTATTGTGCTGAGGATGTCAACGAGTGTCTCATGCAGCCCAATGCTTGTCACAATGGCGGTACATGCTTCAACACCATTGGAGGGCACACATGTGTATGTGTCAACGGCTGGACGGGGGAAGACTGCAGCGAGAACATCGATGACTGTGCCACAGCTGTGTGTTTCAACGGCGCCACATGTCATGACCGCGTGGCCTCCTTCTTCTGCGAGTGCCCGGTGGGCAAAACTGGTACGACTGTCTTTATCATCCCTCCTTGTTTTTAGGTCTTGCTTGTTGTCCTCAGTCCAATTAGTGAGAATCTGCTGTCCCTACAGGTCTGCTCTGTCATCTGGATGATGCTTGTGTCAGTAACCCCTGTAACGAGGGGGCCGTGTGTGACACTAACCCTCTGAACGGCCGTGCCATCTGCACCTGCCCAGCTGGCTTTGTCGGCGGAGCCTGCAACCAAGACATGGATGAATGTTCTATCGGTAAATGCGCAACATGTTGAATGGTTCCCTCTCGGTCTCTCCCAGGAAAGCGTAAATGTTAACTGACTCCTCTTTTTCTCTCTTGTGCCAGGTGCCAACCCCTGCGAGCATTTTGGGAAGTGTGTAAACACAGAGGGTTCGTTCCAGTGCCAGTGTGGACGGGGCTACACCGGCCCTCGCTGTGAGATTGATATCAATGAGTGTCTGTCCATGCCCTGCCAGAACGACGCCACCTGCCTGGACCGCATCGGCGAGTTCACATGCATCTGTATGCCTGGTATGTCAGTGCACTTGACCTTAGCTCTCTATATAGACCTACTTTGGAAAACATGCAAAGTTCAGAAGAGGAGGGTTTGTTATGTAATAAGGTGATTTAATTGAAATAGAACAACTCTGTCCTCATGGGTAAGTCGCAGAAACCACAGATCAGTGTTGGCTTTCACATGTTCAGTAAAACTTGTATCCTGCGCAACATGCATCTTTGGGTTTTTTTGGGGAGCCATACAAATCGGTGCTGGGAGCGGGGTGTATTGGGCAATCTGGGAGAGAGGGGGAGGAGTGTGCAGTGAATTATAATGAGATCTTGAGTGGTGGGAATGGACTGGAACAATGGGGCCCCTCTGTGCTCCGTTCTTCGCCCTACGCTCATAGAGAGAGAGCAAACTTTTTCCCAGCACTCTCGTCCCCTCCCCCCACTTCTGCTCGTACCCCTTTCATTTCCACAGACACCTCTTCTTCCCCACCCTCCTGATCATCGCCAACTTGGCCCTGGCTCACGTGGAGGGGCCAATTCTTTCTGATTCCATGCCGCCGTCAATGCTCTGGCCCCGGCCCACACTCTGCTTCACCTGAATGGGGCGACACACAAGAGCGGCACTCTGCTGATTATAGAACATGCGTGTTCTCAATGGAGAGATGACCACAGGGCATCCTGCGGACAGTAGGGTGTGGTGCTTCTAGTCAAAGCAGGGGCCTCAGTTTGCATAGACGAAGCAATTCTCCATTTCCTCCGAGACATGAACTTGCTGCAGGGTGCAGTGGAGCAGAACATCTCAATGCGTCTGTGGGCCCCTGAGTTGTGAGAAACTGCCGTTCGAGACTTGTCTTCAATGCATTGAGGGTTGGAACTGTGTTTTCTCTCCTTCAGGCTATCAGGGGAAGTACTGCGAGGTGGACGTTGACGAATGCGAGAGCAACCCCTGTGTAAACGACGGCATCTGCCGAGACATGGTCAATGGCTTCACCTGCACCTGTCAGCCAGGTATGGAACATGTCATTTTCCCAGCATCACCAACTCAACTCAACAGTATGTATGCAAGATTCACTTCAATTCATGTAATATCAGGTTAGACTCAGCTTCGCCCCCTAGCCTGATAGAGTTTTTGCGTAATTACTCATTAGAGTGCAGTCTTTAGCGCTATGCAACTGCGTGCCCAAACAAAGACACCATTGTGGCCCCTCTACACAAGCACCCCCCCCCCCCCCTTCGCAACTTGTTCATAGAGAAGGGACTGCAGTCTCACCCGTCTCTCTCTACATTGAGGTGGTGGGGGGAACAGCAGCCCTGCTAATGAGATTCTTTTCCATGTCCGCAATTTACATCTGGGGCAGACAACCCCGCACCCCCCATTTAGCTATTGAGCCGGTAGCGTTTGTGCAAGGAAAGGGGGAGGGCCACTGGCCTTGAAGAAAACAATTCTAGCATCTCCCCCTTCTAACCTTCTGCCCTAGGCATCAACATAGATCCCATCATAACACTGTTAATCAACACAACACCCTCTAAAGATGCAGAAATGAACATTTCTCATGGGGCCCCCAGCCATTTCTTTCGTATTTATTGGAACGTTTTCCCAGACAAGGGATATCAGTCAGTGTTTAAATCCCACTGCCCTCTCACAAATGCATATTTTCTAGGGCTGGGTATTGACACAAATTTCACAATTCAATTCGATTTCGATTCACAAGCTTGCAATTCGATTTCGATTCAATATCGATTATTTTGGATATCAGTTACAATAAATGGCAAATTTTCTCAAGGGAATCAAATCTCTTAACTAATGCTGTGAACTATGGGAGTCTAGTTGTAGCCTACTAGGGTTCATTATCCTAATATGAAGGTAATAATGAACTGTTTTGTAGCTACAAACACTTAAATTACACTTTTATTTATTTTTATAATAAGAAAAATATATGAAATATAAACATTTAAATGGTGGCTGTCATCAAAACTTCAAATATGCATTAAATATTGAAGAACATTAAGATTTTAATGCATATATAATATGGTGTATATATTTAGCAAAATGCTCCTCTCTAGAGTTATTTTTTCTAGCTGACTAACGAGTTTATGTGGGTTTTCTGAGGTAAATATGACGATACATGACATTGATTACAAGCTGTATAACTGACGTCTTTCCACGGTTGAAATATAAATCCGATACGGATTTCGATAAGTTGTACTCTATCTTTTAACACACTTTCAGATGCTCATTCATGTTTATTTCGCGCTGTAACTGGTATTATTAAGCCGGAAGAGAGATCAGCGCTGCTGCTTCTCCAGAGCGATCTCACGCCACAGCGCCAAAACGTTATTTATGTTTTTGAATTTCTAAAGAAAATGGACGTAATTTGAAATTTGCGACTTTGTTTCATATGAATAGTAACAAAGGACAAAGATTATTGCGATTTTTTTTTTCCTTGAGATTTAAGAATCGATATCGGTTCGTAAAAATGAGAATCGATCAATATCGAGAAATCGATATTTATTACCCAGCCCTAATATTTTCCATATAACAAATTGCAATCATGGCAAAAAATGGGATTTACTGAGTTAATATTCCAACAAAGTTCTCTTTTTTTTTCACATACTAAGACTATAATGCGCAGGTCAACTCAAGAATATGATAAGAAAAACATATTTCAACGCAGTCCATTCCAGATTGTGACAGTTGGATGGATTCAGAGAATGCAGGATCTGGACATATTTTAAGGCTCCATTAATTCTGGTTATAAATCATCTTGAAGAGTGTCAAGCCACAGTGCATATGTTATTAATAACACACACCACTGACATCATAAATTCAAACGGAGATTCGTCCAAAACTTGAAGTGAACCTCCATTGAAAACTCAATAAGCTTGAATAAGCCAAGGTGCAGGGATCTATAGCTAGACCGAGCTCTACTGCCCCCAAAGCTGAACCGAATGACCCGGTCTGTGTGTGGAACTCACCTCTGCTGCCTCAGACTGACCTCTAACCTCTATGTTTGCCTGTCCCAGGGTTTACTGGCACCATGTGTCAGATCGACATTGATGAGTGCGCCAGCACTCCCTGCCAAAATGGAGCCAAGTGCATTGACCGACCCAATGGGTATGAGTGCCGCTGTGCTGAAGGTAAGCTGATAAATGAAGATGTGTGTATGATTGAGAGTTTTGGGGATCCCTTCAGGGTTCAAAGTCAAAATCATCGACGCTGACTACATTCATACACCTGCTTGTAGTGATCTCAGGGTCAAATGCTTCACTTCATGTCTCTGTGATCGTACTGCTGGGCGTGCTGACGAAAAGCCTCAAATCCCCCTCCCCTGCCCTGCAGACCCCAATGTCACAGGGTCACCGAGGCCAGCAGCTGCTGACGTTGAGAGTTATGCTCGGTCATCACCCCAACATCTGTTCATCTGTTACCCACAATGCATACCAACACAGTGACGTAAAGTTCCTCCACATAGTTGTGCCCGTAGGAATGACTGTTTTCTGGTTTTAGTTTGTCCATAAAACTAGCATGAGGTTGAATGTGAATGCTTTGGTTGATACAGTACATACCGCATGTGTCTTTTAGAAAGCACAGACGTGGAGTTTGTGTATTGTCTGAAACAGCCTGCTGTTTGGTATTCGCCGTGCTCCAGTTCCCCTCTGCTGAGCTGTCCCGTTAGCTGGGACGCAGGGTATTGTCCTGCTACTCGAGGGGACAAAAGCAGGTCTGTGAGGCCTGTGAAGGGCTCTCTCACTACCGCAGCCCAGCCCTGCCCTGCTCCTCACAAGGCTACTGCCTTGACAGCCTGTCGGCATGGAAACCACGGGAACAGAGACTCCAAACTGTAGAACCTTTCACCAGAGAGAGAGAAAGAAGGAAACGGAGGTAGCAGACAGAAAAGAGAGAAAAAACGTATCGAGACTGGAGGGCAGTGCTGGATAAGGAGGATAAAGAGTACCAAGGAAGTATTTACACCCCAGACAAAAACACAAATAAAGGGCATTAAATCATTCATGCAGAGATTGTGAGCTACAGTGGTCATCAACGGACAGTGGGAATATGGAAATACTATGCTATTTCGTCTCACCTAGCTTGCAGAGCGGAAATTGTTCTTGACAGACTCGAACCACAAACGCAGGCCCCTGTAGAGCACCTGTGACCATATAAATCCGATACGTCTCCGTTCTCACCACCTCACTCAGCCCTTGAGATGTTGGGCTTACAGACTTATTCACTCCTCCTCTTTGTCCTCAGGATTTGAGGGAAGGCTCTGCGAGAGCAACATCGATAACTGCAAGCCCGACCCGTGCCACCATGGCACTTGCATAGATGGCATTGCCAGTTACACTTGTAATTGTGATCCTGGCTACACTGGCTACCGCTGCGAGAACCAGCTCAACGAGTGCCACAGCAACCCCTGCCAGAATGGCGGCAAATGTGTGGACCGAGTCAACAAGTATATCTGCCAGTGTCAACATGGCACCTCAGGTGAGGGATGATGTGTTGCTAAATCAACTGGATTAGCTATAGTCAGTTTTCTGTTTCATGTTAAAGAAGGTTTTGGCTTCCCACACAGGTACCAACTGTGAAATCAACTTTGACGACTGTGCTAGCAACCCATGTGACTACGGGATTTGCAAAGATGGCATAAACCGCTATGAATGTGTCTGCAAACCTGGCTTTACCGGTGAGACAGGGAGAGATCTTCCCCCACTTCTTGTACAACTTAAACAGCCCCCTTGAATTTGCGAATCAAGTGAGAAACAGAAGAGAAAACTCGGTTAAATGAGTAGTTCACTTTTGAAAAAACTTTTGCTGATAATTTACTCACCCCCATGTCATCCAAGATGTCCATGTCTTTCTTTCTTCAGTCGAAAAGAAATTAAGGTTTTTGATGAAAACATTCCAGCATTTTTCTCCATATAATGGACTTCAATGGGAACCAAACGGTTCAAGGTCCAAATGAGAGTTTCAGTGCAAACTGCAAACTGTTCAAAAGGCTTTAAACGATTCCAGACGATGAATAAGGGTCTTATCAAGCGAAACGATCGCTCATTTAATAAATAAATAACAAAGTATAAGTTTTATAAGCTCAAATGCTCGCCTTGTTCTGTTCTGTGATGCGCGTTTGTGACTCTCCTGTTTATCAAAATGAACAAATCTTTTTCCGAATCAATTCGTTCGTTTCGTTCGTTGAATGAACCAAATGACTCGGAAAAAGATTCGTTCATTTTGATGAACTACTTCAAATAGGTGAGTCACAAACGTGCGTCACTGAACAGAGCAAGGCGAGCATTTGAGCTTATAAAACTTAAACTTTGTTATTTATTTATTAAATGAGCGATCGTTTCGCTTGATAAGACCCTTATTCATCGTCTGGAATCGTTTAAAGCCCTTTGAACTGAAAGTGTCTTTTGGACCTTGAACCGTTTGGTTCCCATTGAAGTCCATTATATGGAGAAAAATCCTGGAATGTTTTCATCAAAAACCTTAATTTCTTTTCGACTGAAGAGAGAAAGACGTGGACATCTTGGACGACATGGGGGTGAGTAAATTATCAGCACAAGTTTTTTTATGCATAATTATAATATGCATAAAAGTTTAATTATGTATAATTTACCGATTTTACTATAGTAAGTACATAGAGAATAGGTAACAAGGACACTGTAAAATAAAGTGCTACTGAAACCTCACTGAAGAACTTCCATCCCCTTCAGGACCTCAATGTAAAGACGAGATTGATGAGTGCCAGTCGAACCCTTGTCGCAACGGAGGGACCTGCGTAGATGATGAGAACGGCTTCCACTGCCAGTGCCCCGAAGGTTTCCACGACCCATTCTGCTACTCACAAGTGGATGAGTGTGCCAGCAGCCCATGTTTGCACGGGACCTGCAGGGATGACCCCAATGGGTACGGCTCCATTACAAACTCCAAACCCAGCAGGAAGTAAATAAATGGGGACATGTTTTGACTGTGACTCTTGTTTGTATTGCTCCTGCAGCTATCGGTGCGACTGTGAGCCTGGATGGGTGGGTAAGAACTGTGACCTAGACCGAAACGATTGTTTACCCAGCCCCTGCCAGAATGCAGGCACCTGTTTCGACCAGCTCAATGGTTTCACCTGCAAGTGTCGGCAGGGTTTTAGAGGTGGGATATGTTACATTAGCTCAGTATGTGTATTACAATAACAACAACAAAAAGAGATTTTATTACACATTGTTGTACCGGGAAGAACAAACTGCCCTCCCTACTCTACTGCTGAAAAGGGTGTAATGTTCCCCTAATAAGGGAATTCCAGTTCTTGAGAATTGCACTGCTTTTGCCGATAGCCACTGACGGCCGTCTTTCACTCCCATTCTCAGGTAACTTATGTCAGGTGAACATCAACGAGTGCGCCTCCAGCCCGTGTCTAAATCAAGGCACCTGTGTGGATGGAGTGGCCAGCTTCACCTGTCTCTGTGAGCCACCTTACAGTGGTCCCACCTGTGCAGAACTGCTCACACCTTGCTCTCCCAACCCTTGTGCCAACCACGCTGCCTGCGTGAACACACCCGACTACCTGGGCTACCAGTGTAACTGCCAACCTGGGTGGCAGGGTAAGTTTCTAAACACATTCAAGCCTATAAGAATTGAGTTTCCTGAAGCATGCCTTAACTCTGAGTGTCCTTCACACCACAGGTCAGTTGTGTAACAACGACATAAATGAATGCACCTCTAACCCATGTAAGAACCGCGGGACCTGTACAAATACTTTGGGTGGCTACGTGTGCTCCTGCCGCGCTGGCTACACTGGCCCCAACTGTGAAACTGATATCAATGACTGTTCACCAAGTGAGTCAAATGGAACATAAACCAGGTTTTTATTGCAGATCCTGCAAATAAAACAGTCAAATCTTTCTTTGGCGTGATCTAATGGTGTTCTCAAATTTTGCCAGACCCCTGTCTGAATGGAGGATCCTGTACGGATGGAGTGAACTCGTACCGTTGCAGCTGTCTGCCAGGCTTCACCGGGGCACGCTGTGCTGCCGAGGTGAACGAGTGTCAGAGCGGTCCCTGCAAGAACGGAGGCACTTGCACCGACTACGTCAACAGCTACACGTGTACCTGCAAACCAGGTTTCACGGGCCTTTTCTGCGAGATCAACATAGCAGACTGCACTGAAAGGTGAGACCATGAAGATGCTCATAGCTTATAAAAGAAACGCTGCTGTAGCTTATCAACAAATCATCTCCTCTTTTGTTTTAGCTCCTGTTTTAATGGAGGAACCTGCACTGACGGGATCAACGGCTTCAAGTGCACTTGCCGCTCGGGATTCACTGGAGATTACTGCCAGTACGAGGTGAACGAGTGTAACTCTCAACCGTGCCTTAATGGAGGAGTTTGTCAAGATGCCCTGGAGTCGTATCGCTGCTCATGTCCGAAAGGTTACACTGGCCCCCGTTGCCAGGTATTAGTCCAACATTTTGCTCACAAAATTTTTTAGATTATTTAAAGGAGTAGTTCACTTTTAAAAAAACTTTGCTGATAATTTACTCACCCCCATGTCATCCAAGATGTCCACGTCTTTCTTTCTTCTGTCGAAAAGAAATTAAGGTTTTTGATGAAAACATTCCAGGATTTTTCTCCATGTAATGGACTTCAATGGGAACCAAACGGTTCAAGGTCCAAATTAGAGTTTCAGTACAAACGTCAAACTGTTCAAAGGGCTTTAAACGATTCCAGGCGATGAATAAGGGTCTTATCAAGCGAAACGATCGCTCATTTAATAAATAAATAACAAAGTTTAAGTTTTATAAGCTCAAATGGTCGCCTTGCTCTGTTTTGTGATGCGCGTTCGTGACTCCCCTGTTCAAACTCATTTATCGTTGGCTTTTGTCATTTGGCTTATTCAACGAACGAAATGAACGAATTAACTCGGAAAAAGATTCGTTCATTTTGATAAACGAGCTCGAGCAGGAGAGTCACGAACGCGCATCCCAGAACAGAGCAAGGTGAGGATTTGAGCTTATAAAACTTTATTTAGTTATTAAACGAGCGATCGTTTCGCTTGATAAGACCCTTATTCATCGTCTGGAATCGTTTAAAGCCCTTTGAACAGTTTGCACTGAAACTGTCTTTTGGACCGTGAACCGTTTGGTTCCCATTGAAGTCCATTATATGGAGAAAAATCCTGGAATGTTTTCATCAAAAACCTTAATTTTTATTTCGACTGAAGAAAGAAAGACATGGACATCTTGGATGACATGGGGGTGAGTAAATTATCAGCAAAAGTTTTTTTAAAAGTGAACTACTCCTTTAAAATAATAAACATTAGAATAAAACAAATAATAAAGATTAAAATCAAGAATTGAATGGAACCAATGAAAATAAATTACAGATTAAAATGATTTTGGTTTTTTTTATCTCCCTTTTAGTATCCAGTTGATTGGTGCAGACCTTCTAACCCATGCAAGAATGGTGGTCGCTGCAGACAGAAAGATGCCTCGTTCACATGTGACTGTGTGAATGGCTGGTCAGGTCGTTATTGTGACATCCCAGGAATGTCCTGTGAGGCTGCAGCCAGACAGAGAGGTATATAGAAATAGATGCGAATATTTTTTTTTATGGATTCAATTTCACCATGACCTTCTCCTTGTTAATGGTCCACACACTCTTTCTTGCACAGATCTCCAGACAGATGAGCTTTGCCACTATGGTGGACACTGTGTCAATACTGGCAACACACACTACTGCAAATGTCCCGCAGACTACACAGGCAGTTACTGTGAGTCCCAGTTTGACCACTGTGAGGACAAACCTTGCCTCAATGGCGCCACCTGCAGGAGCTACATGGGAGGATTCACCTGTGATGTAAGTCATCTTAGCAACTAGAACAAAATAGTCATTCATACTAGTACAAGGACTAGTTAACTACAGAATATGAAGAACTGAAGATTTTTCAGAACAGAAGTTGAACTGACCTGTTTTTACTCCAGTGTATGCCTGGTTATGAGGGGAGCAACTGCGAGAGAGAGGTCAATGAGTGTCAGTCTCACCCATGTCAAAATGGAGGAACCTGCATTGACCTGGTGGGACATTACATCTGCTCCTGTCCTCCTGGAACTCTGGGTAAGTTCACAATTCTAAAACTATGGTGAAAACTAGTCCTCAAGTGCGAAAATCGAAATATAAACTACCGTCAAATGTTTGGGGTCAGTAAGATGTTTTAATGTTATTGAAAGAAGTCTCTGTATGTATTTAATAAAAAAAAATAGAGTAAATCATTAATTTTGTTATTACAATGTAAAAAACTTTTCTGTTTTAATATTTTAGAGTCTAATTTTTTCCTTTGATCTAAGCTGAATTTTTAGCTCATGTCCGAAAGGTTACACTGGCCCCCGTTGCCAGGCATTAGTCCAACATTTTGCTTGAACATTTTTTTTATATTACTTAAAGGAGTAGTTACCCTTTTAAAAAAACTTTTGCTGATAATTTACTCACCCACATGTCATCCAAGATGTCCATGTCTTTCTTTCTTCAGTCGAAAAGAAATTAAGGTTTTTGATGAAAACATTCCAGGATTTTCTCCATATAATGGACTTCAATGGGAACCAAACGGTTCAAGGTCCAAATGAGAGTTTCAGTGCAAACTGTTCAAAGGGCTTTAAACGATTCCAGACGATGAATAAGGGTCTTATCAAGCGAAACAATCGCTCATTTAAAAAATAAATAACAAAGTTAAGTTTTATAAGCTCAAATGGTCGCCTTGCTCTGTTCTGTGATGAGCGTTCGTGAATCTCCTGTTCAAAATGAACAAATCTTTTTTCGAGTCTTGACTCGAACGCTCCTAGATAAGACCCTTATTCGTCGTCTGGTGTCGTTTAAAGCCCTTCTCATTTGGACCTTGAACCGTTTGGTTCCCATTGAAGTCCATTATATGGAGAAAATCCTGGAATGTTTTCATCAAAAACCTTAATTTCTTTTCGACCGAAGAAAGAAAGACGTGGACATCTTGGATGACGTGGGGGTGAGTAAATTATCAGCAAACGTGTTTTTAAAAAGTGAACTACTCCTTTAAGTATTCATTAAAATATGATGATTTTCTGATCTAGTAATTATCAATTATCAAGGCGTTTTAAAAACAGTATTCTTTCCTTTTTTTAATTTTTAAGAAAAAATCTTGCTGTCTGCAAGCTTTTAAATGTTAATGTACTATAGGTTGGAATATTGTCACTCTAATATTTTCATAATGACATTTTCTTAGGTGTCCTCTGTGAGATAAATGAGGATGACTGCGCAATTCCCTCATGGCCCCGAGGGATACCCAAGTGTCAAAATAACGGCACATGTGTGGACAGGGTTGGAGGGTACAGATGTAACTGCCCTCCAGGCTTCACTGGAGAACGCTGTGAGGGAGACATCAACGAGTGCCTTTCCAATCCCTGCAACCCCTCCAACAGCTTGGACTGCATACAGTTGCCCAATGATTACCAGTGTGTGTGCAAGCCAGGCTTCACAGGTGAGGGATGTCTGAAAACTGAGAAAAATGAGTCTGTGAGGTACACATGTAAGATTGTGTCTAAATACAAACTTAATTTTGTCTTCAGGACGAGGGTGTCAGAATAGATTCAGTGTGTGCGAGTCTCAGCCCTGTATGAACGGAGGAGTGTGCTCTTTGACCGGCAGCTCACCGTTGGGATACACTTGCACCTGTCAGCTTGTGAGTATCTAGGTCTTATAGCATTATGATCTGTACTGTACTGGTATTAAAATTCAACATCAACTACTTAAAGGAGTAGTTCACTTTTGAAAAAAACTTTTGCTAATAATTTACTCACCCACAATGTCATTTTAAGATGTCCATGTCTTTCTTTCATCAGTCGAAAAGAAATTAAGGTTTTTGATGAAAACATTCCAGGATTTTTCTCCATATAATGGACTTCAGTGGGAACCAAACGGTTCAAGGTTCAGTACAAACTGCAAACTTGTTCAAAGGGCTTTAAATGATTCGGCAAAAGAAACGAACGAATTGATTCGGAAAAAGATTTGTTCATTTTGTTGAACGAGTTCGAACAGGAGAGTCACGAACGCGCATCACAGAACAGAGTAAGGCGAGCGTTTGATCTTATAAAACTTAAACTTTGTTATTTATTTATAAAACGAGCGATCGTTTCGCTTGATAAGACCCTTATTCATCGTCTGGTGTCGTTTAAAGCCCTTTGAAGCTGCACTGAAACTCTCATTTGGATCGTTTGGTTCCCATTGAAGTTCATTATATGGAGAAAAATCCTGGAATGTTTTCATCAAAAACCTTAATTTCTTTTCGACTGAAGAAAGAAAGACGTGGACATCTTGGATGACATGGGGGTGAGTAAAAAAAAAAAAAATTCAGCAAAAGTTTTTTGAAAAGTGAACTACTCCTTTAACTCCTCATGGTCTCTTTCTCAGGGGTATGCAGGCGCTAACTGTGAGAGGAGCATGAACTGCAAAGAGCTGCCTTGCTACAACGGTGGCAGCTGTACCCTTACCTCACGAGGTGCACGTTGCACCTGTATTCAGGGATTTGGCGGGCCACAGTGTCAACACCGCAGCAGTGAGGGCTGCTCCTCCAAGCCCTGTCGAAACGGAGGCTTGTGTATAGAGGAAATCGGCTTCCCATTTTTCCGCTGCCAGTGCATCAATGGCTGGTCAGGCAAACGATGCGAACAGGAAGCCAGGCTTCTGGCACCTCTTACTCCTCAGTGCCCTATTGCCGACTGTCACGGCAAGGCCAATGACGGTGTGTGTGACAAAGAATGCAACTCGTTCGCCTGCCGCTGGGACGGAGGGGACTGCTCTCTTGCTGCGAACCCTTGGGCACGCTGCACAGACCCTCGCTGCTGGCGGCTCTTCAACAACAGCCAGTGTGACGAGTTCTGCAACAACGCAGATTGCCTGTACGATAACTTTGACTGCAAGAACAAAGAGAAAGTCTGCAAGTAAGTCCTGTACTATTTGTGTCCTGAATCGTAGGGCCGTTTGTGATGGTCTTTCTCTAATACGGTCTCTCTTCATTCAGCCCCATCTATGAGATGTACTGTACCGACCATTACGCGGATGGGCTCTGTGATCAAGGCTGCAATACTGAAGAGTGTGGCTGGGATGGACTGGATTGTGCAGGGAAGATTCCTGAAGATCTTGCGGAAGATGTGCTGGTTGTTGTAGTCCTACTGCCTCCAGATGAGCTGCTGAAGACACAAACTGCTTTCCTGCAGAAACTAAGTGCAATCCTACACACCACATTGCGTTTCCGCATCGATCAGAACGGAGAGTACATGATCCGACCCTACACGGGCCGTGAGACGCGCATTAAACGAGAACTTCATCCTCAGCAGGAGGTCATTGGGTAAGTTGGGCTTGCTATAGTAAACGGAGCGATTTTATTTGCCCTTGTACGGCGAAATTTTGCAGGACCCCATGATATCATGAATTTTGAATTCAAATTTTGATTTTGGAAGTAAAGCCTTGTTCACACTACATGATTTTAAAACGAACTGTGCGGTTCACGCTACATGACTTGCTCTCAGTGAAATCGGGAGTGTTCCAGTTGTTTAGCCGTTCACACCACACGACACAACGTGATTGATCCGCAACAGGAGGTAACGCACTACACGAGTTGACAACGCACTACATAGTAGTGCTGTAGCGGCGCGTTGAAAATTGCGTCGACGTCATATTTTTGCGTTGACGCTTCTTTATTTATTTATTTTTTTGCATGTTCCCGGCGGTACAGCTTGCCACACTCACGTGGGAGACTGAAACATTGCAGAATAGAGGACGAAGACAACTAGAAGTGAATGTGCTATCCATTAAATTAATCACACACAGTAAACAAACCCTTAAGAAAAAAAATTGCAATTTAGACGCGCAAACTGGGTGCCGATGTGGTGAGACGTACAAGCTCGGGCAAATTCGGCTTGAAGTCGTTCCCGGACGCGGCGCCGTTACAAAAAAAAGGCGTACACACAGCCAGCCACAGTCTTCCTGGTCTTGCGCACCCAACGCGTCATTTTTGCCGTGCGGACGTGTCGAGTATAAACAAGGCTTTACTCCGTGTCAGCACGCGCTCTGATCAGTAGGAGCACAAACCTCTCCCGATTCATCTCCAGTAGTAGCAGACTCCGATCGCACCACTAACTCCGCCTCCGTTTCCCTCTTCAGCTGATATTAATATTTAAACATTCTCTATGATAAAAAATGTTTGTAAAAAATATTTTAATAACACGGTTTTGGCGGTTGTAGAGTTATAATGATGGTGTTCAAATACATAACATTAGACTAACGTTAGCCAGCTTATTGTATCTTGATTCAGTATGCTAGTATTTATTTGAGATATTGGGGTTTTTTTATTAATTGAGCAGCAGAAAAAATATTCTTTGTATTAGTCGTCCAATTAGTCTAGTCGACTAATCGATAAAATAATCGCCCAACTAATCGTTTAGTTAATAATCGTTTACCCCAGCCCTACTACATAGAGATACAACCACGATCGGATGATAAGAGCAAATCATTTTTGACTCTAATGAGAGCTGTTTTAGTACTATGGTACGCTCTAAATCCTGAAATAACGAGTTGTCACCCAACGATTCTATCTTGTCTACAAACCACGTTTTGTCACGAAAAAACACGCAATAAATAAATAAATATTGTGCCAATACCCAGCAAAGAAGAGAACACAACACGTGAATATGGACGTCAGACAGAAACTAGTGCTGCACACTGTTAGCACGACGATCTGCTCTGAGAAAAAAATGCAAAAAAAACTCAGATTTACCTGGTGTCCTCAACCCATGCGTTGCTATGATTGGCTGTACTCATGACATCACTGAGGTTGAGTCGCGCGACGGCTCTGGATATCTAGCAGGCTAGATAATTTTCTGGGCTCGGCGACGCGTCTGCGTTGTTGGCTCTTTCATACTAACAGATTGGCAAGCGTTCATCCCCCGCGATTTGCACGCGATAACACCCTGACCTGTCGGCGAGCTCAACGATTTGCAAATCGGGCGTAAAATCCTGTAGTGTGAACTTGGCTTGAGTGGTCCTTCGTTAAAATATTGAAAATGGACCTTCTTTGCCTGAAAAATTTTGAGTGTACCTTTACAAATACTCTTGTGCTCCTCTGAAGGTCCGTTGTACACTTGGAGATAGACAACCGGCTATGCTCCCAGAGCTCGGATGACTGCTTCCGCAATGCTAACAGCGCCGCTGAATATCTGGGCGCTCTGCAGGCTCGTGAGATGTTGCATTTCCCATACCCCCTCAAAGAAGTACGCAGTAAGTATCTACACTTACACCAACTTAACATAGGCCTCATTGGTCCAGCTGGCTACCGGCTAATGTACCAATTCTCTTTCAGTTGTACCAAGGGAAGATCATGATAAGATTCCTGACTGGGGTAAGCTACTGCTAGTAGGGGTGGCTTCTCTGTTCTTGTTGGTAATCTTGATGGCGGGCATGTTGATTGCCCGCCGCAAACGTGAGCACAGCACACTCTGGTTCCCCGAGGGCTTCTTCCTCAAGAAGGAAACGAGCAGTAACAAGAACCGCAGAGAGCCTGTGGGCCAAGACTCCCTGGGCATGAAGTGAGTAGCTCATGCAGTATCAAAGCGACTTCATCAAAATATCCCGTTCATGGGCACTAATTAGCATTTATGACTCTTTGCAGACACATGCCAAAAACAGTGGAAGAGTCTCTATTGGCTGATCACAGTGACCAGTGGATAGACACAGACTGCCCTGAGGCTAAAAGACTCAAGGTGATTGATCATTTATCATTCCTCTTTTGATCTACATCAGTGAAACATTTGTGAATGAACAGCCTTAATAATATCTGTTTTTTCATGAGCAGGTGGAAGAGCCCAGCATTCTGTCAGATGGTGAGGATGCAGTTGACAGCAGACAGTGGACACAGCATCACTTGGCAGCGGCAGATATCCGTATGCCACCATCCATGGCTCTCACACCTCCGCAGGGAGAGTTTGACAGCGACTGCATGGACGTCAATGTCCGAGGCCCTGGTATGATATGTTTGACTGTCTGCTTTCTTAGTCCTTGGCTGCATCCGAAATCGAATACTTCCCTACTATATAGAATAGGGCTGGGTAATAAATATCGATTTCTCGATATTAAAGGCTTAGTTCACCCAAAAATTAAAAAAATTAAGTCATTCATTAATCACCCCCATGCTGTACCAACCCTGTAAGACCTTCGTTCATCTTCGGAACACAAATGAAGATATTTTTGATTAAATTTGAGAGGTGGATCACGGCTACATAGGCTACCTAAGGGACTGGCTCTTGACGGCCCAGAAAGTCAATGAAGAAAATGTTTAAATATCCTATGTGACTACAGTGGCTCAACTATAAGTTTATCAAGCAACGAGAATACTTTTTGTGCGAAAAAACAAACAAAAATAACGAGTTTATTCGACTATTCCTTTTCTTCCTTGTTGGCCTGAAACGAGACTTCCTTAGATTTCCACAACGCATGCGCGAGAATTGCGATCTGCTTACACTACTTCAGTTCAGTTCTCGCGCATGCGTTGTGGAAATCTAAGGAAGTCTCGTTTGTATAGCTACAAAACAGTTCATTATTACCTTCATATTAGGCTAATGAAGCCTAGTAGGCTACAACTAGACTCCCATAGTTCACAGCATTAGTTAAGAGATTTGATTTCCTTGAGAAAAATGGCCATTTATTGTAACTGATATCCAAAATAATCGATATTGAATCGAAATCGAATCGAATTGCAAGCTTGTGAATCGAAATCGAATCGAATTGTGAAATTTGTGTCAATACGCAGCCCTAATATAGAATGCGAAAAACAGCAAGCTAGCCGAGTAGTATGTTTCCGAAATCATAGAATTGGAAAAACAGTGGGCGAAATGTACCCGGATGACCTACTACTTCGGCCGATATTCTGAAGTGCGCATACGATGGACACTTTACTATCCCATGATGCCACGGGAGACGAGTTGTCGTTATATTTGAAAATGGCGGAAACCGGAGACGCGGCTGTAACGTTAGGAGATAAACACAGACACACATGCGTATCTCTATTGATTCATTCATGTTTATTTATCGATGGTAATATCACAAGCAAATAAATGGCTTTTTCCTTGCCAAAAATCAACATGTCATTGTTTATAAGGGTTGTGTCTGTGTGTGTGTTTTATGAGGTAAAATTTATTAGGTAAATAAATGCTATTTGAGAAATTCCGCAAAAGGTGCGATCTGCGAGCAGCTGACCGACGCCTCCTCTTGATTGTCGGCTCGGACGACGTAAAAACGCAGATGAAAACAGAAAGCAGAACTAAAAACAGTGCGAAGTTGGTGCAGTCACTGGAATGGGCTCTTCAAATTTTCGCATTTTTGTGACAGCGAATGTCACGCGACAACAACATGGCGCATGTAGTGCGTCCGGACTCATTCATACTACCGTATTCATACTATATAGAACGTACTTAAATAACGTAGAATGTTATTTGAGAAATTTCGCAAAAAAGACGTGATCTGCGAGCAGCTGACCGACGCCTCCTCTTGATTGTCGGCTCGGACGACGTAAAAACGCAGATGAAAACGGAAAGCAGAACTAAAAACAGCGCGAAGTTGGTGCAGTCACTGGAATGGGCTCTTTAAATTTTCACATTCTTGTGACGGCAAATGTCACGCGACAACAACTTGGCGCATGTAGTGCGTCCGGACTCATTCATACTTCCGTATTCAGACTATATAGAACGTACTTTTTTAACGGTCGTGAAGTACGTTCTTATTTAAATATAGTACCTACTCGCATAGTACGCTATTTCGGACGCAGCCCTTGTTTGCGTCCAGCGTACCCCCTTATCAGCAGCCCTGCATAGATTAACTTCAAATTGATTCAAAACATTTACATACTATTATTCATATAGATGGCTTCACACCCCTGATGCTGGCATCCTTCTGTGGAGGTGGGCTGGAGCCCGAAGTGACTGAAGATGATGACTCAGAAGAATCCTCAGCCAACATCATATCCGATCTCATTTACCAAGGAGCGTCGCTCGCAGCTCAGACCGACCGCACTGGAGAGACTGCTCTGCACTTGGCTGCACGCTACGCCAGAGCTGACGCGGCTAAAAGACTCTTGGATGCTGGGGCTGATGCAAACGCACAGGATAACACAGGCCGCTCGCCTCTGCACGCAGCCGTAGCAGCTGATGCTCAGGGGGTTTTCCAGGTAAAGTCACCTATGAACAAATACATTGAAACTATTGAAACAAAATCAGTGCTAATGTATCCCATAATCCTGCATCTTCAGATTCTGATCCGGAACCGCGCCACAGACCTAGACTCGCGCATGTATGATGGGTCCACTGCTCTGATCCTTGCTGCCCGGTTGGCAGTAGAGGGCATGGTGGAAGAGTTGATCACCTGCCATGCTGATGTCAATGCTGTTGATGAAATAGGTAAGCACAAAAGAAAAAGATACATATATACATGCTTCAGATGTGGTTTCATTTTTTTCTGATGGTTGCATATGTTTTGTTTCTCTCTCCACAGGAAAGTCAGCTTTGCATTGGGCAGCTGCTGTCAATAATGTTGAAGCTACAGTTGCCTTGTTGAAGAACGGTGCCAATAAAGACATGCAGGACCTCAAGGTATGCGAGTATATACTTTTTTGAGGGTTTTGAAGGCTTCATCTCAGCCATGTTTTTAATTTTTGAATTTGTTTATGAATTTCTTCAGGAGGAGACCCCACTATTCTTGGCTGCCAGGGAAGGAAGCTGCGAGGCAGTGAAGATGTTGTTGGCTCACTTTGCCAACAGGGAGATAACAGATCACATGGACAGGCTCCCTCGGATATTGCCCAGGAGCGCATGCACCACGACATCGTACAGCTGCTGGATGAATATAACACTGTGAGAAGTCCGCAGGGCCACGCAGGGGCAGGTCACCACATGTCTGGTAGCCATACGCTCTCACCACTCATGTGCCCTCCCAGCAACTTCCTCCAAGGGCTGAAAAGCACCCCTCAGGGTAAGAAGAACCGTCGCCCAGGGGCTAAAGGGATGGTTGGGCAGCATGCTGCCGCTCTGAAAGATTCAGCCAAAAGCCGCAACAAGCGACTGACGCTAGACATGCAGAGTGCCTTGCTGGAGAGCTCGGTCACGCTCTCCCCGGTTGACTCGCTGGATTCGCCGCGCGGAGGCGCCAACAACGCCGGCTACATCACCAATCCGACCTCACCGGCCGCCATGCCCACTCCCGGCCTTTTCCACTCCTCCATGTCTGTTCCTTCCACTCCCATGGTGCACAGCAGCCTCCTGGATGGCTCCAGCCCTTTTGCAGTGTCCCTGGCGCAGCTGAGCGACCTGGGCGACGGAGGGCTCTCGATGCAGGGCCGTGTGGCCATGCAAGGAGGCAGCATCAACCAAGGCCCCCACAACTACGTGCTGAACGCCGGCCAGATGAGCCTCAACATGGGCATGGTGAGTCCAGTGAGCGTCCCGTTCGACTGGCACAGCCGCATGCCCCCGTCTTCTCAGTGCAGTCAGCCCATGGTCAACATGGTGCATCCAGCAAGTAGCCAAGCAAGCATGCACCCTCAGACCCCAACCCTGCAGCAAACCAGCATGCTCTTGCACCAGCAGCAGGTTTTCCGCAACGCCCAGCAGCCCATCCTGCAGCCAACACCCGTCGCCAACACGCCCTCGATTAGCCCGGTCAAACTGACGCCCATTGCAGAGCAGCAACCGCAGCAACTCCACAGCCACGCCCTTGCCAACCCCAACCTCACCCGCATGGGCTCCTCCACTCCCCCGACACCACAGCAGGCACAGCCTCCTCCAGCTTTCTACCAGTCACAGCAGCCTCCGCAGGCCACGGCATCCCCTCAGGCCCCGCAAGCGACTCAGGCACCCCCAGCGCAGGGGAGCGGCAGCACCGCCGGCCCGGAGGATTACCCCACTCCGCCCTCCCAGCACAGCTACACCTCTGCCATGGATGCGACGCCCAAGCATTACTTGCACGTGCCCAGTGAACATCCTTACCTGACCCCTTCTCCAGAGTCTCCAGAGGCCTGGTCTAGCCCTTCGCCTCACTGTGTGTCTGATTGGTCTGACTCCACCCCGAGCCCGGCCGTCACGGCTTCTGCTCAAACCCAGATTTCCCATGTCCAGGAGTCCAATGGGAAGATGCAGGTGTTTGCTTGAACAGCTCAACCTACCTTAAATGTTTGCGACTTTGAGAGAGTAGAGTTGACGAGTTGATTTTTTTACTTACCTGTCAGCCCATTTCCAAGATTTTAATTGGATTAGGATTGACTGCTTTGCGTCAAGAAGACCGTCTGCTGGTGTCTGCAGAAAGAAAGTTAAAGGGAAATGTGTTGTCTTAAAAAGAAGACAATTTAATGAAGTAAGACGTTCTGTCACAGATGGACTTGTTTTTAATTATAAGAAAAAAAGTATATGAAGAATACCACGTCTTTCATTTCAAAGACTTGGGGACGCTCCTGAAACTAACAAACTTTATAAAAAAAAAATAGATTGAGAGAAAAGTGAAATGTTGAAGGAAATTCCTTTCTTTTTATTTATTGTCTTATGTTTTCCAAACTGCCTTGTGGGTGTTTTGGCCCTCGTTCTGTCTCTGTTGTTTTTAGTGACCCCCCCCCCCATAACAAATGCCTTACTACTTCCAATGTTTTACATGGGACTCGTGAGGAGGTCTCAGGTTCCACGTTGCTACTGTTACAATTGCTTCGCTCGCCTGGTTTTATCAACAGCAATTGACACATTCCGCATTTATAAACCGGGCTTTTGAGCGACACACACACACATACGATGAGATTAGACGTTTTACCAATTTTAGTGATATTTATTTAGTCAGAAACAGATTGGCACATGAAAACAGAGGTATATAGAGACCAACACAAGTGAAATATTCTGATTTAAAATGATTTTATACATGTTGTAAAATTATTTGTATGAATGTAGAGGGGCATCTGTGAAGCACTTCAAGGGGAAAATTTTGAGAGAGAGAGAGAGATGGGAAGAAAACCCTGACATCCTAGTTCAGCATTTAAAGCGACAGTGCATAAAAGCGCCTCCCGAAAACAGGCCAGTGTTTCGAATGTTTTCAGTGTTGTGTTGTATCAGTGGAAATGATTTTACTGAACAGTTTCTTCAGCGACCTCACCGGCTTACAAAGGCCTGAGCTCTACCAGCTCCCTCTCAGAATCCCTGCCAGTCACTGCCTTATAGTCTTGCCTTGTGTAAATTTGATTTTATTTTGCGTTATAACCACATTTTTGGAACCACAGTTCATTGTGGAACATTGATGTATAAGCTGTGTTATTAGGCTGCTGCTCTGCGTCACTTCTTCGGTGACACGCGACTTCCTTTCCGCGAACATTCCTGATCGCCGCTGAACTGATCTCATCGCGTTCCTGGTCCCTCACGAGCACTTCATTTCAGTACTGAACAGCTGCGGCTGACATTTGACCACTTGAAAGTCTTCCTCTGGGGCCTTACGAAGCCAAGGCAGTGTGGTTGATTTATTTTGATGTAATTTGATCCGTCAGGTCCAGCATTTCCATGTGGTCTAATCATATTCGCGCTCCTTTTGGTTTGGGTTGTGAGCATATGTGTTGTGTGTTGGGTACAGGGCTAACGGGGTTGCTAATGGTCTGCTAGTGCTCTGTCACTCCTCAGGGAGGTGTTATATAGCATGCAGTGTTGTCTGCATCTTTAGCAGTTCCCACCCCATGAGCCTAGACGATTACATCTGTCGTGTCTGGTCAGAAGGCGTGAGACGGGAAACGCTACTATGTAGTGATGCCCTTGGCTTTCTGCAACATGTTCGTATGTTCATCCCCAATAACATTCCCTGCTGCAGGATTTGGCGACACTCGCGCGTGTTTTCCAATTTGTCTTGCAATTACCAACAGAAACGTGCCCATCTCGCTAGTTTGACAAATATCTGGCACAAATACTGTGTACAGCTATGAAACTGTTCATGTACCACATTTCAAGACTTGAGGTGGTTTTGGAGCACATTCTGGACCTCTTTGTTCTTCTACATAAGTACTACTAAGCTTAGCTTATCAAGCATAAGTCTTCCTTTTGTTCATAACCTTTCACTTCTCGTGATATTTTTGAAATTCCAGTACCTGTAAATACGTTTCACCTTTTTTTTTTAGGTCTACTTGTTTATGAGAAGTCTTATGTTTCTAAAATGATTATGTACTAAAAAAGAACAAAAAGTAAATGTACTTTTTTATTAGCATTATTAAGGTGAGGACTATATTGGTATAACTAGAACAGCCATAGATATTTTCTGTCGTCATTATTAATTTCCTATACTTGTTTAAAAGTAGTTTAAAATCATTGTATATAAACAGCTTTTCACAGTTTCTTTCTACAAAGTTGTAAAATATGTTACTTCTAATAAAGCAGTAGAAACTACATTTCATTGATGTCTTATTCTTTCTCACCTCATTCACATTTCCATGCACACTAAATCCAGATTCAATCCAGCTACCAATTTCCTCCAGAGCTAAAGAAGTGTATTTAAAGGGTTAGTTCGCCCAAAAATGAAAATTCTGTCAGTATTTACTCACCCTCATGTTGTTCCAAACCTCTATGAGTTTATTTGTTCTGCTGAACACAAAGGAAGATATTTGAAAGAATGTTTTAATCAAACAGATCTCATTCCCCATTGACTACCATGGGGAATGAGATCTGTTTGATTAAAACATTCTTCCAAATATCTTCCTTTGTGTATGAGGGTGAGTAAATACTGACAGAATTTTCATTTTTGGGTGAACTAACCCTTTAAGGTACAGTTTGGAATAAGAGAGAAGATAAAGAAGTCAATCCATCATTAATGCAACAAACTCCTCGAAGGGAAAAAGGATACAAGACTATTAACAATAGGAGTCATTTACTTTGTGATAATCAACTATTTTACTGTACATTTTCCTCTCAATTTGGGAAAACTTATTTTGCCACCAATCATAGTTACTTATGAACTTTTGTCAAATATCAACCCAAAACATCTACTTCACGCTGCTTATAATGAAAATGGACACACTGGCTGGAATCACATGCTTCCCACTATTTAGTAGGTGAAAAACAGAGTGTCAAAAGAAGTACACTCACCTAAAGGATTATTAGGTACACCAGTTCAATTTCTCATTAATGCAATTATCTAATCAACCAATCACATGGCAGTTGCTTCAAGGTATTTAGGGGTGTGGTCCTGGTCAAGACAATCTCCTGAACTCCAAACTGAATGTCAGAATGGGAAAGAAAGATGATTTAAGCAATTTTGAGCGTGGCATGGTTGTTGGTGTCTGAGTATTTCACAATCTGCTCAGTTACTGGGATTTTCACACACAACCATTTCTAGGGTTTACAAAGAATGGTGTGAAAAGGGAAAAACATCCAGTATGGGGCAGTCCTGTGGGCGAAAATGCCTTGTTGATGCTAGAGGTCAGAGGAGAATGGGCCGACTGATTCAAGCTGATAGAAGAGCAACTTTGACTGAAATAACCACTCGTTACAACCGAGGTATGCAGCAAAGCATTTGTGAAGCCACAACACACACAACCTTGAGGCGGATGGGCTACAACAGCAGAAGACCCCACCAGGTACCACTCATCTCCAAAAATAGCAAAAAGAGGCTACAATTTACAAGAGCTCACCAAAATTGGACAGTTGAAGACTGGAAAAATGTTGCCTGGTCTGATGAGTCTCGATTTCTGCTGAGACATGAGAACATGGATGAGTGAGAACATGGATCCATCATGCCTTGTTACCACTGTGCAGCTGGTGGTGGTGGTGTAATGGTGTGGGGGATGTTTTCTTGGCACACTTTAGGCCCCTTAGTGCCAATTGGGCATCGTTTAAATGCCACGGTCTACCTGAGCATTGTTTCTGACCATGTCCATCCATTTATGGCCACCATGTCCCCATCCTCTGATGGCTACTTCCAGCAGGATAATGCACCATGTCACAAAGCTCGAATCATTTCAAATTGGTTTCTTGAACATGACGATGAGTTCACTGTACTAAAATGGCCCCCACAGTCACCAGATCTCAACCCAATAGAGCATCTTTGGGATGTGGTGGAACGGGAGCTTCGTGCCCTGGATGTGCATCCCACAAATCTCCATCAACTGCAAGATGTTATCCTATCAATATGGGCCAACATTTCTAAAGAATGCTTTCAGCACCTTGTTGAATCAATGCCACGTAGAATTAAGGCAGTTCTGAAGGAGAAAGGGGGTCAAACACAGTATTAGTATGGTGTTCATTGGATGTCCAAATTCAGTTTTTATAAATAAGTAGCAAAAAGTACCCGGATAACCTAACATGGCGAATGTAGTGTGTCCAGTTTACATCCACACTTTTTTTTTAGCGGCCGTGAGGTAACTATTTATTCAAAACAAGCACCTAGACAAGAGAGTATGCGATTTCAGACGCAGACAAAATCTGACATCGACCGCGATATTCAGTTGTGTGTGTTTGCAAGTGTTGTTCTCCATTGCTAGTCAACCACATAATCAAATGGACCCAATCTACTCAATAATTGCATTCATTTTTTTTTAAAGCTGCAGTTGTTTGTTTTTTACAATTTAGTCGAACATTCAAATTTATATGAATTGCTTGGCAACTACAGCACTAATTTATATATATGCCATGTGAATTGAAACCCACCGCACAGTTGAAGCCTTTTCCAAAAAATTCCAATACTTTCAATCTCTTTAACAACATTCATTGATTAATGTTTTCCATATTTTATTTCATTAGCTAATAAGTAGCTTTTATATATGTGCTTTAGAGAAAAAAAAACATTACTGGTGTTAATCTCGAGACAAAACAATGGCACTGACATGTTTTAAGATATCTCAGTGCAAGTTGCTTTCAGTTAAAACAGCTCAAAAGTGCATTTTAGTCTGGGATTAGCTTAAACCTCTCTGTGAAACCAGGAGAGTGACTCTTAAACTGTTATAACACAGCATTTTCTAACTAAACATTATGTGTTTGATCATTATTATTACTGTTGTCTTGAGGTTAAAGTTAGAACAACACAAGATCCAGATTTTACAATAGACATCATGTGGTGACCAATCACAGTCTCAATTGCTATGCTTACTATATTTTGTTGCATTTTACGATTTTGCATTGAGCAAATTCCCGAGACCTATCAGAACTGGCCATTTTTTTATATCACTAAAATGCAACAGCTGTAAAGTGGACCAGAATCCTCTCTCCTCAGGGATCTTTAGGAAACACCTTGACCCATTCTCCTGTGTAGGAAGCGCATAATACTCAGACTAGCATTGAACGTGCGGTCATGCTGGAAGATCATTTTATAAAACACGTCGATGGGTAGTCGCCCTGTGGGGTCAGCGTGCTTCATGGCAGTCAGTGGCTTGTACAGACGGTTGGTCTGATGACGAAACGGAGGATTCTTGGACACAATCAGCTGGTAAGTTTGCTGTAAGCAATGAGACATTTTCATGTCACTCATTTAGAAAAGGGAGCCTCAACTACTAAAAGAACAGCCCATCCACACTCTCACCTCTGCCACCTCTTTCGGTGTCTGCCCGATCGAATGAAAAACTGCGCGCGAGTATGGCAGGTAGATCTGACGGAAGATTTGAGCCGTCTCTTCATCAGCCTCTGACAGGTCCATCTTCTCTGCCTCCTCATACACTTTCTTCTCAAACTCAGTTACAACTGGGCCGGGCTCCACTAAAGTCATCCTGTGGGAGTTGTACAGTACATAAGTCACACTTACAATACATGAATGTTTTTACGTCTATAAAAATTAAGTAACCATGTGACGACAACGCATTCCCGACATGATGTGATTCTTTTAACACTTAAGGGACGTACACCGAGACGGATATCAGCACGCGTTATGTTATTCGCCACCGTTTTTCGATGCGTTTTTTGTGTTCACACGATGAGCCGAGTGAACATGCCAATTCATTCCCTGACATTAGATGGCGCAGTCAATCAAGTTTACATGATTCACAAGATGGATTTCCACTATAATCAACAATTATATAAGAAACATGACAAATGTAAACATATAAAAGAAAAAAGATCTTTAGCCGCCATTGATTGTGCAGTATTCTAACATGTGACGTCACGGGGTTGGTTGGCTTTAGTTTAACAGGCTCTAGGTAGTGAATATCCCGGCATCAAACTGTTTACACCACAGTGTTTTGACCGCGAACAACCAATGTTAGGTACAGTCATTATTAGCTAACAGCTGTAGGCATGAACTAGCTAATGCTAACATAGTGAAGTTTATTAGTACCAGACAAAAAGACGACGTCTAATGTTATATGTTGACAAACTGCACATAGAAAGATTGTTCGCGATGTCTGCCGTCATATTCCCGTCTCGACAATGTCAACACCATGTAAGTTAGCATGTATTTTTATTCGTCTTTTATTATATTTTCGCACTAGCTACATATATTAGGAAAAAGTGTCTCAATTGAAAGAAAACAAGTCTGAATCCAATATTTGGTGATAATATAGCATGGTGTGAGATTTAAAAGCTACTTTTTGTAGTCCTTTCACTTTTGACCGGGAACACCAAAAGTGTGACTTTGTTCCGTTTTTTACAATATAAAAGCATTTCAAAACAAGCTTCCTGGTTAAAGGACAACTCCGGTGCAAAATGAACCTTTGGTCTAATTACACATTGTTACCTAGTCAACCGTTATCTGAGATTTGTTTTCATGATTGCCGAATGTAAATAGTTTTATCTCTAAAAACAGTTTAGCCTATAACGCTAGTATAAAATGCTAGTATATAGGGGATAGAGTAATGACAAATAAAAATCGCTTGTTATTACCACTAACAAGGCTCAAAATAGCCCCACAGTAACACGACAGCATAATAAGGGTCCCTACATTCAAACAGAAGCATTGAGAACTTTGTCAGTGTCCATACAGTTTAATAAGCAGATATTTTATACACACAGTCAACTTCGCGAATACAGGAAGAAGCCATCTTTGAAAAATAGTCTCTACCAGTCGATCTACGAACGCCGATCCAAGTGCGCTGAACTGTGCAGAATCTCATATGGTCCGTTGTTTTCGGAAGAAACACAAACACAAACCGTTTTCTTCTCTTTAATATGTACATGTAGACTACTGTTCGCGCTCACCTTATCACCTTATTCACATCTCACCAGCGCACTTGGATCGGCGTTCGTAGATCGACTGGTAGAGACTATTTTTCCAAGATGGCTTCTTCCTGTATTCGCGAAGTTGACTGTGTGTATAAAATATCTTCTTATTAAACTGTATGGACACTGACAAAGTTCTCAATGCTTCGGTTTGAATGTAGGGACCCTTATTATGCTGTCGTGTTGGTGTGGGGCTATTTTGAGCCTTGTTAGTGGTAATAACAAGCGATTTTTATTTGTCATTACTCTATGCCCTATATACTAGCATTATACTAGCGTAACTGTTTTTAGATATAAAACTATTTACATTCGGCAATCATGAAAACAAATCTCAGATAACGGTTGACTAGGTAACAATGTGTAATTAGACCAAAGGTTCATTTTGCGCCGGAGTTGTCCTTTAAATATTAAAGCACGCTAGTGTGATAAACTTTTTTTTGTTTTCATATTTTCTTGACAAATATTACCCACAATATTTGACACTGATTTTGTCAAGTTAACTCAATATATATCTGTGTACTCACTTGACATTGAACTTCATAGCTTGCACAGCAAGACTCTCACAAAAACCTTCAACAGCAAATTTGGAGGCAGCATATATATCATTGAAAAGTAGTCCTGAAAAAAAAAATGAGCACTCTAAAAAAAAATAACAGTGTACACTAAAGGTAAAACATGTGCATTTAACATGTGTACTGCTTATAATAACTGAGATGTGTGGTATTACCTTGGATTCCCAGGACGCTGCTCATCACTACGATGTGTCCACTCTGATGTCGCTTCATATCAGGCAGCAATTCCTTCACCAGTCTCACCAGGCCAAAGAAGTTCGTGTTGAAGAGTTCCTGCATAGCACTTACACTCTGGCACTCCAAAGGCCCGATCATGCCCACACCGGCATTACTCACTACAAAACAGAGCGGTTGAGTCTCAATCAAGCAGGATGTGGAAGATTCTTCAAAGCATTTTGCAGTGTGTAGTTTAAAGGGATAGTTCAGCCAAAATTTAAGAAATCTGTCATCATTTACTCACCCTCGTGTCAGTTCAAACCTGTGGAACATAAAAGAAGATATTTTTGGAAGGAAGTCAGTAGAAATCAAAACTTGGTTACCCAACATTCTTCAAAATATCATCTGCAGAAGAAAAATAAATCATTTAGGTCTGGAACGACATGAAGATGAGTAAACAACGACAGAATTTCCCTTTAAAACAAAGGTTCAGTTGGTCCACTGTGTGTGTGTGTGTGTGTGTGTGTGTGTGTGTGTGTATGTGAAAAACAGACAGAAAAAAGTTTTATTGTAATTTTATTAAATTGTTTTAGAAATTTTAAAATCCGGGATTATGATTAGTCAGCAACAAATCTAGTAAAAATTGTAGGGGTGTAACGATACATACAGTATATCGAGAAATCGCAATATTTAAAACGCATCGTGATGTAAAAAGGTGTACGTTAGTTAAAGGAGTAGTTCACTTTTAAAAAACTTTTGCTGATAATTTAGGGCTTTAAACGACACCAGACGATGAATAAGGGTCTTATCTAGTGAAACGATCGCTCATTTCAAAATTAAATAAAAAAGTTTGAGTTTTGTAAGCACAAATGGTCACCTTGCTCTGTTCTGTGATGAACGTTCGTGACTCTCCTGTTCAAACTCTTTTTTCGAGTCATGACTCGAAGGGTCCTTGATAAAACCCTTATTCATCGTCTGGAGTCGTTTAAAGCCCTTTGAAGCTGCACTGAAACTCTCATTTGGACCTTGAACCGTTTGGTTCCCATTGAAGTCCATTATATGGAGAAAATCCTGGAATGTTTTCATCAAAAACCTAAATTTCTATCCGACTGAAGAAAGAATGACATGGACATCTTGGATGACGTGTGGGGGTGAGTAAATTATCAGCAAAAGTTTTCTTAAAAGTGAACTACTCCTTTAAGTAGTCGTTGACAGAGAGCAAGTAACTGTGTCTAACATAATTCTATATTATATTTTTCTCTGTATTTCAGTATATTATTTGTTAACTTGTTCCCATATGACTTAGAAGTAATAACTATAATATAACCTTCTTTATTTTGGCTTAAAGTATCGCGATAGTATCGTATCGTGACATGAGGGTATTGTTACACCCCTCAAAAATGATCACATAAGCTGTGAAAATGATCATAGGACCCTTACAAGTGATACATGTGTCTCAACTCAAAGAGGAATAATCCTGATATTATGGTATAATTCATAAAACTTTAGTTTTAAAATAAGCTACGTGGAGCTGTAAATCTTACGTCATCTAAACGGAAAAGAGCATATACTCAAAAGACACTGAGCTACCGTTTAAAACGCTGCATTTCTCAGGAATATTTGTTGAGAAGGAAACTGTGGATTTCACCTAACACATCCACTCGTCGATCTGACAAGCTGTTGACACACTCTCTGATGGAGTCCTCACAGGTGGCATCCAGCTGTCGGATCTCCAGGGATCTGTTCAGTGTCACTCCGGCCGCCCTCTCCAGAGCCTCTCTCTTATCCAGATCCCTCATGGTGGCCACAACTAATGCAAGCAGAATCAATAGTAGCGCTTTAAATAACATTAGTTAATGCACAGTACACATGCAACTGACAGAGGGTTCACACGTACAAATATGTACTTTTATGAAACTTTAATTCAAATGTTTCGATTTATAATTCTCCTCCCTGATGCACTGGCATCATAACAAATCGATATTTAACATTCATATGCAGTCTTCTTACCTTTGAAGCGCTTATCTTTTGCGAGACGGACAGCCACCGCCAAACCAATTCCAGAGGAACATCCGGTCACCAAAACTTTCCGTGTCCCCATTGCTTTCTCTCAACGCTGATCTATATAAATCATAATAAAAGCAATACACTTCCCTTCCGAAAAATAAGTATAATTGAAGTTAATTTTACGTAGTGTAATCTTTATTTAAGTATACTTTATGTAGTATGTATATTAGTATCAATGTACTAGTAGTAAACTTTTAAGTTTACTATTTCACTATGGCTTTGGACTAAATTGACCCACTTTTTAGTACATAAAAGTATACGGCTACTATAAGTTTAACAGTAGTAAACTAAGTTTCTCATTTGTACTTCATCCGCACTACAAGTGAATTTATATCTTAATACTTGTATTAGATTTTTTTGTTTTTTAAAGTACACTTTGAAGTGTTAACTAGTTAAGTAGTTTTATACTGCTGCAAGTATTGTAAGTTTTCTTTAAAGGGATAGTTCACTTTGAAATTATTTTTTGGTATGTTTTAGTTTACCTCAAGGGCATCCAAGATGTAGGTGTCTTTGTTTCCACAGTGTTTTCAATTTTGATATTTTTAGGTCAAACCGTTCTTGTCTGTCAGTCATATAATGGAGGTCTATGGTCACCACCTCAAAGAGCATGCAAGAGCAAGTCCAAATTAAACATGATTTAATGACTCGTAAATGTAAGTACACATTGATGGCCTAAGACACGAAACGAGCAGTTTGTGTGAGAAAACGAACAGTGTTTATATCGTTTTTACCTCTTTTAATCACAGCCACGTCCAAGTACTTTGAGGGTGAGGGCGCTTCGGTCTGCGCAAGCGCTGGAAAGTCCCAGAAGTGATCTTGTGCGTGTGTACGTCACTCATTATTTACACAGAGATTTCAGAAGTGTTACCCTTCACTGTGAAGATCTAAACATATTTAGATATACAGGAAATTGCAATGGAAACCGATTTCGAGATTAACAGACAACGTTGATCACTTCCGGCGCATTCCTGCGCTTGCGCAGACCGAAGCGCCCGTGCCTTCAGATCACTTGGACGTAGGCAGTGGTTACAAGAGATAAAAACTATATAAATACTGTTCGTTTTCTTATACAAACTGCTCGTTTCGTGTCTAAGGCCATCAATGTGTACTTACATTTACGAGTCATTAAATCATGTTTAATTTGGACTTCTCTGTGCATGCTCTTTGAGGTGGTGACCATAGACCTCCATTATATGACTGACAGACAAGAACGGTTTGACCTAAAAATATCAAAATTGAAAATACTGCGGAAACAAAGACACCTACATCTTGGATGCCCTTGAGGTAAGATAAAACATACCAAAAATTAATTTCAAAGTGAACTATCCCTTTAAGTGTCCACAAATCAAATAGACAAAAACTTAAATAAATGAATGAATAAAAACTTACCCTTACATTTACAAGCAACTCCACAAAATGAAGCAACGCTTAGTTTAAGTGAGTAGCACTGTAACTGTAAAATATAGCCTAGTGTCAGTAGAGCACGCTGAAGGGTTTCTGCTCTACAGATTAAATCTTAATCGGCTTTGAGCACTAGGAGCGCGCGTCTCGTGCACTCGTTTTAACTGGTCATTTACAATGCTCTAGCGCTGAGATGCGATTTCACATCTAAAACCGCACGACAAGTTATAGAACTCGTCTCGTTTTAATATGAAACATTCAAAATGACCGTGACCGTTATTTCCAGTGCGTGAAAAACAAAACATGAGCTACACAAGCGGTTTAACTTCAGACTAAACCTGTTTGAAGTGTTCTGGGACGTGTCGCCTAACTTACTTACTGAATGCAACTAAACCGAACGTTGTTTGCAGTACAGTAACAGACCTGTGTCCTGCTGACAGTCCGGCTAAACTCATCCACAAACTCTCCTTTCACCCGGAGCGCGAGACGAGTCTGTGATCAGTCATGTTGAAGAGGTCGCGTTTGTGTTCAGAGAGAACCCTGGGATTTGAAGTCATTGACTTTACAGAACATAATAATAATAACACTAATAATCAATGTTGCTGGAAGTTCATTTTAAAAGTAATACGATACAAATTGCTTGAAAAAAGTTACTTAGTTACTTTTTATGTTAAAGTAATGCATATTTTGCATACATTTTCTTACCTGGGCTGGGTGTGCGTTTTTGTTTTCAATTAAAAAAATTAAATAAAAAATAAAAACACACCAATAGGTCTATTTTTGGCTAATTTAAATGTCATGGCCAACTCACACCAAAAGTGAAATGAATATGCAAATTCACTCCTGTACAGTAGAGGGCGCAGCTCAAACAAACCTTTCATTCTGTGCTGCAATTCTGTGTCAGAATGAGTTTTATTGCCAATTATGTTTTTGCACAAAAGCAATTTGTCGTGGTGACAGGAGCTTCCAGTGCAGAAGAAAAGTACAGACATAGATACACAGTAGAAAGGCAATATAGCAAAAGTTTAAATGATGCAATATATACAGAGGCCTAGTAGAAATATATATTTTTTGTTTAAAATTATGAAAAATTGTTTATCTAATTCATCTCATTTTGATTATTAGTAGTTTAATTGGATCATTGAAGATCTCTGGTGTGCAATGAATTCTGGGGTAGGCAAGGCAGTGAAGGAGTCATCTGTTGTATCCTTCATTTCACCGGAAATGGAAAGGCGCATTTGAAGGAGTTGTCAAATTAGGATAGTCTTCGTTGTGCCGATCTTCGAATGTGGCCTTTGAATAATGTAGCCTCTGAACTGGGACGCAGCTAGGCTAACTGAATTAGTGAATCTTTAAGCAAATCAGAATGATTCTTTGTAGCAAACCCGTGGCTGTACAGAAATGTCCTATCTGAATTCTTGACTTAAGATCTAAAAAATAACCTGTCTTAAAGGGATAGTTCACTTTGAAATTCATTTTTTGGAATGTTTTAGCTTACCTCAAGGGCATCCAAGATGTAGGTGTCTTTGTTTCCGCAGTATTTTCAATTTTGATATTTTTAGGTCAAACCGTTCTTGTCTGTCAGTCATATAATGGAGGTCTATGGTCACCACCTCAAAGAGCATGCAAGAGCAAGTCCAAATTAAACATGATTTAATGACTCGTAAATGTAAGCACACATTGATGGCCTAAGACACGAAACGAGCGGTTTGTGTGAGAAAACGAACAGTGTTTATATCGTTTTTACCTCTTTTAATCACAGCCACGTCCAAGTACTTTGAGGGTGAGGGCGCTTCGGTCTGCGCAAGCGCTGGAAAGTCCCAGAAGTGATCTTGTGCGTGTGTACGTCACTCATTATTTACACAGAGATTTCAGAAGTGTTACCCTTCACTGTGAAGATCTAAACATATTTAGATATACAGGAAATTGCAATGGAAACCGATTTCGAGATTAACAGACAACGTTGATCACTTCCGGCGCATTCCGGCGCTTGCGCAGACCGAAGCGCCCGTGCCTTCAGATCACTTGGACGTAGGCAGTGGTTACAAGAGATAAAAACTATATAAATACTGTTCGTTTTCTCACACAAACCGCTTGTTTCGTGTCTTAGGCCATCAATGTGTACTTACATTTACGAGTCATTAAATCATGTTTAATTTGGACTTCTCTGTGCATGCTCTTTGAGGTGGTGACCATAGACCTCCATTATATGACAAAACAAGAACGGTTTGACCTAAAAATATCAAAATTGAAATTACTGTGGAAACAAAGACACCTCCCAGATAGCAAACTGACATTGAATCAACGTGGAAATATGACATCGAAACAACGTTGATCTGACATTGTTTTGCTCATCGAATTAACGTTGAACCAACGTCAGACGCGTCATTCTTTCAAAACTAACGGAAAATCAACTTGAAATCAACGCGTTGTTTCAACGTTATGAAAGCAAACCAATTTTCGATTTTCATTTAGCTTTGAAGAATGCCGCGTCTGACGTTGGTTCAACGTTAATTCGATGAGCAAAATCAACGTTGTTTCAATGTCATGAGAGACGTCGTTTCCACGTTGATTCAATGTCAGTTTGCTGTCTGGGCTACATCTTGGATGCCCTTTAGGTAAGCTAAAACATATCAAAAATTTATTTCAAAGTGAACTATCCCTTTAAGTTAATCTGCCACGATTAGGATACTAAACAGACATAATATAGGACTCTGAGGATGTAGTCTTAGATTCAAAAGATTTGAATCACTGTGGTGAATCAAAATCTTGTGCTGAACTCAGAACTGCATACTAATAGCAAACTACTCTTACTATTTTGGCCATAGAAAGACTAGGTAAAAGTAGTATAATAAGGTTCTGTTTTCAGTATTACACAGCATAAAAAGCGTGAAAGAGTGCTCAAGAGTGCTCGGTTTACAGCTGTACTGTGGCGGCCTCTAGGGGTCATGTTGTGCTATTTCTGATCAAACCGAAAGTGATCAGACTAACAGACTGAAGGAAACGGTGCAACACTAAAAGAGGTCTAGCCCTGTTATTGATACGGAAACCGAACACTGAACGAGATGAGTCAAATGCGTGAAGAAATAGAGGTACAGTATTCATTATTCCGACAATAAAGACAAAATGCATGATTTGTTTTTGAGACAATATGACATTTTGCTATTAAAGGAAGTACGGTGCAGTATAGTTCAACTTCCTTAATATCACTGTGCATATTGCATATAGTCAAAACATGTTCATGTTTTTCCTGCATTAAATCGCCTTCGTATATGGAAACTGACACGAGTCTTTCACCCTGGTTGTTCTTTCAAATAAAGATAAACAACCTAATTGCACACGTTTTCTCTCCTTGTGCAGTTGGAGAAAAGTACGAGGCGACTGAGAGAGAAGTTTCATGGTCTTGTTGAAATTGACAAGGCTGTATTACTCATGCGACGCTATGGGAACAACCATCGTATGGTTGCAATGTGTATCGCCCTAATGGCAGATAATGACAGGGGTAAAGTGCAAACCTTTGCTTTTAAGAACCATGTCTCATAAATGTATTAATGTATGTGTCCCTATTCACTCTGCTAAGCAAGAATGTCTAGTTCTGTGTTTTTAGTTTGTGTCGACAACACACCCAATTTTTTTACCTGCATTTTTATATGCAGAGCTGGACGAGGAAGACAAGTCTGCTTTGAATAATGACCCTGTGGCTAAGGTATGCTGCATATTACATTAAGTACATTATGTAAATATATGGAAAGGGTTTGAAGGTGTATTTTGAAGCAAAAAGCATTTGGACACCACTTAAAATACATGAATGTGATTGTTTTTGCTATGCAAAGAAATTCATTCATTTTATATGTGACTTAAGGGCAGGGAAGGTTTTTTGTTCCAGAAACATTTGTTGTTATGCTGGTTTATTTTTTATTTATTTATTTTTTTCAAAGATTTTCCTTGAAGGCCCTTAATGATAAGACATTCATTTTTGAAACATAAACCAAAGAAAAACACAAAACACCAACAAAGAATAAAATAAAATTGTAGCTTAGAACCGGGGTATGTATTATTCTCAGTGACAATCCTTGCATAGTAAATTTGCTTTCTTCATCCATCTACATAGTAAATTTGAGAGGTATTCATAAAATTCAGACCTTACCAAAAGTCTCTGAACAAAATCCGTTCTATGTTGCCTAATATATTTAAGCCATCCTTTCCAGATATTGTTACTGTAAATTTATCGACTTCCTATCTAATGGACGCAGTTAGCTTTTCCATATTATAATAGCTTAGCATTACATCTACCCATTCTTCCACTAGGGATGGGCAACAATTAATCGCAATTAATCGCATCCAAAATAAAAGTTTATGTTTACATAATATATGTTTGTGTAGTGTGTATAATTAATTTGTATAAATAAATATACACACATGCATGTATATATTTAAGAAATATTTGCATACTTTATATATATTTATACATAATTAATATTATATAAAATATAAATATTTGATATATTAATAGCACATTTTTCTTAAATATACACATACATGTGTGGGTATTTATATATAAAAATTAAATATACACACTACACACACATATATTATGTAAACACAAACTTTTATTTTGGATGCGATTAATCGTTGCCCATCCCTATCTTCCACACTTTAGGCACCAAATCACTTCGCCATCTTCTAGTTATTGCTTTCCTACTAGCCAACAACATAATTCGAAGCAATTAATAATTGTCCTTTCTTTTTAATTTCAAAGCTGGCAGGTATTTTCGTTTCTATCACCTCATCAATTGCCACTTTTAAAGGGACACCATTGTTAGATTTCCATTTCCGGTGTTAGCTCATCGATAATCACGCCACTGGCCTCGCATCGTTCTCCACACGGCCCTCACTCGTCCTGCTCGCCACAGTAAACATAATGAATGGCGACTGTAGAATGCAAAAGCCGAATCCCGGACATTTTGGGCGATCTCGAAACACATTTTCTTCGGGCAGACTCATCACGGAGACTCACTAGACTAGCCTAGACTTGTTTAACTACTGCGCTCTGTTACCGGTAGGCTGGTAGGCTTTTGCTGGTAATTTACTCACCCCCATGTCATCCAAGATGTCCATGTCTTTCTTTCTTCAGTCGAAAAGAAATTAAGGGTTTTTGATGAAAACATTCCAGAATTTTCTCCATATAATGGACTTCAATGGGAACCAAACGATTCAAGGTCCAAATGACAGTTTCATTGTAGCTTTAAAGGGCTTTAAACATTACCAGACGATGAATAAGGGTCTTATCTAGCGAAACGATCGGTCATTTCAAAAATAAATATTAAATTTTTTATAAGCACAAATGGTCGCCTTGCTCTGTTCTGTGATGCGCGTTCGTGACTCTCCTGTTCAAACTTCTTTTTTCGAGTCATTTGGTTCATTTCGTTCGTTGAATGTTTCGCTTGATAAGCCCCTTATTCATCGTCTGGTGTCGTTTAAAGCCCTTCGAAGCAGCACTGAAACTCTCATTTGGACCTTGAACTGTTTGGTTCCCATTGAAGTGCATTATATGGAGAAAATCCTGGAATGTTTTCATCAAAAACCTTAATTTGTTTTCGACTGAAGAAAGAAAGACATGGACATCTTGGATGACATGGGGGTGAGTAAATTATCGGCAAAAGTTTTTTTTTTAAATGTACTACTATACGCCATTTCTCGTGATGCTTTTGCTTTGCTCCCTGCTGTTCATGTGTTTTGAAGGAGGTGTGGCTTTGGAGATGCTCTAAAATGGGAGATTTGGATCTTGCTTTGGATCTAGCTTCTCTGAAAATTGCCTACCCTACCTTTAAGTGTTCATATACTTACTGGGGTCTCTGTATTTGTAATCCTGTTACTCATTAACACATTTTCTGCTCTCATATAGAATGTGATTGTGAAACTCAAAGCTGACGAAAAACAACAGGTAACAATCCAAACCATCTCTTAACGCCCTGTAAACAATCTTATGTTACATGATTTCTAAAAATGAAAGTACCAGTTATAGTTTTTAATCGTATAATGGTGATAGTCACGATGTGATCATCAAAAATTTATAGAAAGAAAAACCTGCCAAGTCATCTGGATCCTCCGGTGCAAGATCATCAGCACAAGTAAGAAGGTGTTTCCCTATTCGGATGTGTAATTACAGGACACATGAACA